GCTGGCAGCATTTGTTTCGTCTTGGCCAGAGTTTTTGGCCAAAAATGTTAACCTAACTCGTATTTTTCGCCACTTTGTGCTCTGCTTTTTAAATTCTTCTTTTCTTTTCTTTTTTCTGTTTGTTTCTGTTTCAGTTATTTTTTTGTTTCCATTTAAAGCGGACGGAAGGGCAGACCCTCCTCCTCCATTTTTGGGGCGCGACACCAAATGAAATGCCTGAGGGCAGTAAATTTAAGCGGCCGCCAGGAGCTGCTCCTTGTTTGGTGGCGGGAGGACGGCAGGACACAGGACGCAGGACTTTTTGGCCAGCGGAAACAGTGGCAGCAGTGGAACGCGGTTTCGGCCACGTGGCGAGCGGAGTATTTACCGCCATGTGCATAGTTTGCAAGTCTGCGCGGCGACACCTGCAGGAATGGCTGGCCACGGGTCCTCATCCCATGGGGATCCCGGCCAGGACGAGCCGAGGTCCTAGCCAGGACCAGACTGGCGAGCAGACATGGCCACTAACAACATCAAAAAGTGCCAAGTGCCAAGTGTTTGCGTTGGTCGCCAAAAACGCTGCCCAACAAATTGCTCCGACTCTTCTGTATTTTCTATATACCCTGTAAGGGAGGCTATTTCGGACTGAGAATTGTATTTTATCAAAAAGAAAAACAATTTGAATCCATTTGGAGATATAGAAAAACTGATAAAGTAAATAAAACGATTGGAAAGTGTAGAATCTTCCGAGATTTTCTGGTTTTGAACTGTCTCTTTCCCCTCTAACTTGTTATTTTCTGATTGTGCACTGCAGGCAAAGCGCGAAAGAGTGAGCAAGATAGATAGCGGCTTAAAGAAAACGGACATAAATCTAAGTAAAACAAAGCTAAATATAGACAATATAATGGATTAAAAATGAAAACATATTCTCAGGAAAATAATTAATAATAAGTAAAAAGAAAAATAATATAAAATTTGAATAAGAACAAATGTAATTATGGAATAAGTACCTAATTCATTTTAAAGTTTCTTATTTTTCCAGAAAACAAACCTAAAAATGAGTATCTTTTGTTCGTCTTTCCCTTTAGAACTTTCCTATTTTCCACCGTGTGACATTTTTCTTCTGTTTCGTTACATTTTCCCCGCCTGAACAGGGGGAGTTTTAGGGTCCTGCCCTAATGTGTGGACTGGTCCAAGTTTCCTGCCTCCCTTTTTATTCGCTTTTTTTGCAAAAGTATTTTTTATTTTTATTTTTTTTTTTGTCGTTGGCTTGTCTTGTTTTGTTTTGTTTTGTTCACTTGTTGGCTACTCTTTTATGCACATCGATTTTCGCTCAGTGCTTTTTATTTGCAGGGGTGCAGAAGGGGGGCCAAGGTGGAACCGTACATCGGAGTTGTTTGTTTGGCACTGTTTGTTTATGTGCTGTAACTGGTTCGGTGAGAAAAGAGGAGGAAAAACCGGTGAGAAAAAATGGGGTGGGAAAATGGGTGGGGAAAAAGGACTCTGCAGAAATGGCTGAAAATCGGGACGTAGCAAAGGGGGCGGGGCAGCAACTTTTTAAAGCGACATTTAACGATGCTCCAAAGTTGAGCACAACACTTGGCAGGCCCAAGTGAGTGCCACACGAGTGCATTCATTCAGCGAACTCGCAGCATCCAAAAAGCACCCCAAACTCTGTTCAAAATCATGGCAAGCAATTACACCATGAATTTTATATATATTTTATTTAATAAATTTAAACAAAACCCGTTGAAAGGAAAGACTGGTTAACTTTTGGTAAAATGAAAGTTCATTTAAAGGAAGCATTGTTAAGATTTTACACCATTATTTTAATTGCTTCATGATCTATGTAATAATATTGAATATTTATCATTAGAAATTTTCTAAATAAATGTAAGAACATTAAATTAATTTTTAAAATCTATATGCCTTTGCATTTGATGTTTTGGTTAACTTTTGGGTGAAATAAAATTACATTTAAAGAACGCATTAATTTAAGATTTTAAAAGAAACACTAGAATTTTCTACACCTTTATTTTAATTCCTTCATGATCTATATAATAATATTAAATATTTATCATTATTTATCATTTCTAAATAAATGTAAGAACATTAAGCGGAATATTTAAATCTATATGCCCTTGAATTTGTTGTATTTTTAAGCATTTTACATGATAAGAAGAGAAGATCTAAACCTATTATAAAACCTCCTCTGTTGGTGTTAACTCTCTTTCAGATTAAATTAAATTCCTTACTCTATATATACACTCTCTATACTCCATTTGAATATATATATATATATTGTAGGAAAGTGAAGCGTTGGCCGTTAATAAAACTATTTTAGTCGCAACTAACAAAGTTTGCCAAGTACTCGGCTTTCGGCTCCTTTGACACTGACGTTTTGGCAAGTGGCTTCAAGTACGGCGACAAATCGTGCAACAAAGTCAAATGCACTTTGCAGTGTGGCAGTGTCAGAGGAGTGGAGGGAAAACTGTTGGGGGGAAAACTGCTGGCAAAAGCCGGGAAAAAGCTGGGCGATGAAAATTGTGAGCGAAGTGAATACATGTGTACGATGTGTGCGATGATTCATTTTGCAATATTGCATATTGTGCGTCGCACTTAAATTCAATTAAGCTACAAAGGCAGTTACCCGGCACCAGGGCACGACGACTACCGCAAGCGTCCAATAACCCATCAGCTGTCGCAGGGAAACCGGGAAAAACCCCATCAGTTTTCAGTTTTCAGTTTTCCATTTTACAGTTCTCCTCACTCAACCCACCACAGACCGCCAGTGCCAGTGCCAGTGCCAGAGCCAGAGCCAGAGCCATTGCCATTGCCACACTTTATAGCCATTGCCATTGCCCTTCGTGCACTCAGTCATTCATTGATTCATGCACCAGTTCGCCCAAGCATTCAAGCCAGCACTCATTCAATCATTTCTGTCGAGTCCTTGGCACTATCAGCACAGCAGTTATCCTCGGCAACATGTCCTTCACACAAGATGGCATTGTAATTCGAGGTTTGAAGGTAACAAAGTTCTCTTTAGACTTTAGCTAATGTCATTTAGGAGGTGGAAAATTTATGGATCTTTGAAGAGTAATTATTATTATTCAATGGGGAATTTATATTGTTGCATTTTAAGAATTGGAAATGTGTATTGTAATAATAATATACTTAAGATAGTTAGATACTTGTTTATAGCATCAAAGAACTTGGAAATTATAGAAATTTATAGTAATAGGTAAAGTAATCTATTAATTACATTTATTACTTTAAATAATGCCAACTTTAAAGCAATTCTAAGTAATACATCAATCCCACATTTATTAATTCTAATCCTTCAAATAATACCAAATTTTAAGCCTCCTTCTTACTGGTCAATCTATCAATCCCTTATTCGTTTTTCCAGGGTATGGATACTAACTAAAACACAGGTGTGGCTCTGCTCTCGTCTCTAACTTCATTTACACGCTTTTCAACGCTCCAATCGAGCTCCATTTAAATGTTTGCCCAGGCGCACAAGTGTGTGTTTGTCCCACAAAACAGGACTCGTCGTTGTAACTAAGGGGCAAGTAAGTGGAACTTCCGGGACTATATATACATATATATAGTAGTATTATAATACCCCGACACACATCCTTTGAGCTGATGCTGCTGCTGATGCTGCTGCTGCTTCGTTTTGCATCTCGCATCTCGCATCTCACAGTTCGCATCTCACAGATGCCTCGCTGCCATGTAGAACTAATTCCATTAAAGCCGGCTCTAACTTGATTTTCAATTGACTCCTCATTTGCTAAGGGATCGGGATCGGGATCGGGATGGGGATGGGGATGGGTCAGGAGGAGGACGCGCTGTCAGCAATCAACATGTTCAATTGAGCATATCCTGCCGGCTGCAGGACACTGCCGTGCTAGAACAGATACCAGATACCAGAGAAATGTGATTACCCAACGCTATTTCCTGCACACACATCCTTGGGAGATGGCCTACACTTGGAATATAAACCTTAATGATTTTCAAGTCCTGCATAAAGGAGTCTAAAGGATAATAAAAGTTTAAACGGAAAGTATAGAGTTTATTGCCTGCTTTAAAAGCGAGTTTTTAAACCTTGAGATTATATTTTTAAATTAATCTTCAAGTTATTATTTGTCTCACTTCAGCTTAATATTAATTTTAAATATTAATTTCCACTGAAAAGTTATTTTTTTTAAGTGCCAAGCGAGCAGGACAACGAACCAGGACACAACATGAAGAAAGTCCAGCGGGCGCCTTTTACATTTCATTGGATTTTATGCGTTTCACTTTATGCTGATGTTTTTATTATTAAATTTCCCTGAATTTTCATTTACATTTTCTGGCTTTCTTAGCGTTTGCTCTATCCCTATCTCTTTTGCTCTATCTCTCTGACTCTCTCTGTGTTTGGTCGTTAGTGTATTGTCGCCGTTGCTGATGACTCCTCTTCATTTTCACACTTTTCATTCAATTTATTGCATTTCGCAAATTGAGTGTCGCTTTCCTTAGATCTATTCGCCCTTCCTTGTGCTCCTTCGCACCCATGGCGTTCCTTCCGTTTTGGTCCTGGCCACAGCATCCTGTCCTGCTCCCTCACTTTCCTAATTTTCTTCCTTAAAAAGGAACACAAAATAAGAACAGTAAATAAATGCAAAAGAACCACCTAAAAAGAAGTCAATTCGATTTAAGGCGAAAAAGAATGCTAAAAATATACAGGGGAATACATCTTTTAGCAACTTTGGCTTAGTTAATTTGATGTGAATATAAATTTATAACGTTCAATAAATTTCTTGGAATTTAAACCGAAATACTTAACAGAAAAATACTCAAAAAGCTATTAGCTATTGAAGTTGCCGAGTACTGTACTTTTTTGATCAGGTGGCAACTCCGCTGGCTTTGTTTTTCGATAGATCTTTCGATAGTCCCCGCTATCGACGATCTGCCAGCACTATTTCAAACGAATTTAAAGTTTGCTTTTTGGGCTTTTCTTTCTTCCCTTTCCCCTCTGCCAACGAGTTGGCTTTGGCGCAGTTCTCCGAATTCCGAGGGCTTTGCTGGTTTGGCCAAAGTTCAAAATTTATTCAAAAAAATTCTCTCAGTTGCACGACAGCAACAGCAAAAAACTTGTCGTCGCTTATATTTTTTAGTACGAACAAACGGCAAACATGTCCGAGGAGAATCCAGCCCAGTCCGGTGCGATGCCTGATGCCATTGCAGACACCGAAGCCACCGCTAATGGGGTAATCCCTCCGATCGTCAACTTGGAGGAGACTGTGGTCAGCAGGCGCCCTTTGGGATCTGGAAACATCACTGCCACCGACACCTCCCTTTGCACCGTGCGTCGCCTCAAGCACGAGCTGGCCGATATTAGTGTTAATCCACCGCCATATTGCTGTGTGTCAATCAAGGCCGAGACTCTGTTCCAATGGAATGCCATTGTGAATGGTCCCATTGGCACGGTCTACGAGGGTGGACACTTTTGTCTGGATCTACGTTTTACGCCCTCGTATCCCTTCAAGCCGCCACAGGTACGCTTCCTCACGCGTATCTATCACTGCAACGTGGACAGATGCGGTACCATTTGCCTGGATGTACTTGGCGAACGCTGGTCACCCATTATCACAGTGTCCAAGGTGAGGTTTTGTGTAATTATTAATGTGATATATAAATTAAAAATCCCCCTTATAGATCCTATTCTCCATCTATCTGCTGATGGCAGAGTGCAATCCAAATGATCCGCTGGACAGTTACATTGCCGACATGTACAAGACCAATCGCATGGAGCACGATCGGATTGCTCGTTACTGGACCAAGCGATTCGCCATTCCCGCAGGAGAATGATATATGGAAATTTTGCTTGAATAATATACACACTATCCAATTAATACACTATAAACATATAGATCTTGCTCCCACCCCGGACAGTACATTCTAGTTTCAATGGATTCACTTGAACTGCCCTGCACGGCAAATTACAAAACGTTTAAATGAAATTGTTTCCTTTTTTTTCCACTCGACTAAAATTATAGTTGTAATAATTATTTAATGCTAATCAAAGCAAGTTTTTCAACGCTCATTAAAATGCTGCATTCATAAAGTATAAATCGTTGCGTTTTCTTTAAGAATTATAAGCAATTTGGAGACTTTCAAGTAGGAAACAGAATCCTCTTTGGTGGCAAAATGTTGAAAAGATTCCCCCGATGAACTTGGACCTCAAGGCAAGCCGTTTTCAAAATACTCCCGGCATTATGTATGTGTCCCACTCCCACGCAGAGTGCTGACTGTGTGAGATAGCCGTGGTGGTGTGGTGGTCCTTTTGGTCCTTTGGCCCGCTCATGTCTATGAATATTCATGAGGTGCCAAAAAATGAACGTTTGGGGGAGAGAAAACATCCACGGTTGGGTGGGGTTAGCTTTGAAAAATGAATTGGAACGCGAACGGTTTAAACACCTCCACCGGGCTCAAAGGGTTGCCCGCGTAACGGGGTCACCTCCTCAATTGAGTGCCACGAAAAATATATCCAAAGGTGAGAGCCTTTCAAGCCCGGCACAATCTTAAATGCCCATATGGGGCACTAGGACGAGGACAAACACAATTAATGGTTCTGACAAAAATTCAAGGAACGAGATAAACTCAAAGGAAGTTGCCTGTGATATTCAATATTTCTTCATATACAGGTAAAAATAGTGATATACTATAGTATTTATTGATATTCTTAGGTTTAATTCAAAATTCAAATTGTTCCCTATACGAATAAGTTAAATAATATATCGATGTATCGTTTAGATTACAACTTGATCTTCAACACAAGAAATGGAGATTCCTTTTGAATTCTTATGTTTAATCTTTATTCATGTTAAACTCCTATCTTATTTAGCAATCCAAATAGTTTAATTTATACAAACAAAGTAGCATTCGATTTTCAGTTACGAATTAGCAGTGTTCAGATCCCGATATTATCAATCGTATAGAAACTCCCCATAGTATTCATTTGAGCAAAGTTTTTTCACCTCTACCAAAAAAGCTAAACTGCCACCACAGCGCTCATTCTTTTCCTTTCCGGTTTCGTCGCCGACAAGTTCGTACAGTTTAACATCTCAATCTCAGAGAATTATAGTGAAAATTTTTCCGTATCAATTTCCAATACGAAACTACAACTAACAAGTTCAAGAAGAATTACCAGGTGAGTGCTGATCAGGTAATTCCTGGCCAATAAGTGTGAGGGTGGTTTTCAGTTTCCAAAGAATCGAAAACCTGCGCGCAGGCGCTTTTTGCACGTGCGTTTGTGTATGTGTAAGTGAAGAAGGTAGACGTCCGGTGAAAATCGAATTGTGTGGGAAATATAATGCTTAATATTGAAATATTTATTCTATATTGCTCTGGATCAAAGAAATATCTGTGTGCGCGTCTATATATAGCGAAAAATTCGAGAAGAATCCATGGCGAAAATCGAAAAGGGACGCATGCGCGGCGGCGTCGTTTGCGTTTGTGTTAGTTAAGAGGAAGTGTTAGAAAAATCAATTACTGCGAGGAATATAATAAATAATGGTTTAATATATATTCTATATATCCCTGGATCAAGTAAATAGATGTTTCCAAATCAATTTAGCGAGAAATTCGACAAAATTACATGTAGAAAGAAGAGGAGTGGAGCGCATGCGCGGCGGCATCGCTTGCATTTGAATTTGTGTTAGTGAAGGCCAAAAGTGTTAGGAAAAAACCAATTAGTGTGAGGAATATAATGAATAATGGTTGAATATATATTCTATATATCACTGGAGCAAGGGAATAGATGTTTCCAAATCAATATAGTGAGAAATTCAAGAAGAATCTATAAAAAAAAGAGGAAGAGTGGAGCGCATTCGCGGCGTCGTCGTTTGCATTTGTATTAGTGAAGGTGAAAAATGATAGGAAATAGTCGGATAGAGTGAGGAATATAATGCATTCAAGTTTAATATATATTCTATATATTCCTAAATCAAGGGAATAGATGTTTTCAAATCAATATAGTGAGAAATCCGACAAGAATATATAGTGAAAGAGGAAGAGTGTAAGGCATGCGCGGCGGCGTCATTTGTGTTTGTGTTAGTGAAGAGGCAAAACCTCACAAAATCGTGCATGTGTAGGAAATAGAATGGCAATTATTCGTATATATAAATATATATATATATATTCCTGAGAATCAAGAAAATATATGAAGAGTGAGGAGAAGACCAGCGAAGGCGCAAAATTCCGTTGGCGAAAAAGAAAAAGAGTGGCGCATGCGCGAGGGCTTCTTGTGTGTGTGTGTGTATGAGTGCACGCGTGCCTGTACTCTTGTATTAGTATAAGTGTACACACACAACAAAATGGCTGATAAAGATGCCGAGAAACATGCAAAGTAAAAAAGCATACAGCAAAATGGTGGCACATAGATGGTACACATAACAAAACGGCTGACAAAGCAAAGCGAAACAGATAAAGATGCCGAGAAACATGAAATGAGAAAGAGTTTACAGCAAAATGGTAGCACATAAATGGCCAACAAAATGGCTGACGGGGTAAAGCACAACTGATAAAGATGCCGAGAATCATGAAATTACAAGAAGTATTTTATTAAAAGCAAACAAGTTAGACACTTTGGAGAAGTTTCTAGTGTTGCACTATAACTAATAGTTAGTTGGAATAGATTATTTCCGGAAATAGTATTAATTTATCACACTTATAGTTTTAAACTTGTATAATTTATAATGATATGTCCATTCATCCTAAAAGAAATCAAAAAACACCTCTGTCCATTTTTACAGATTTCATTCTAGATTCACTCAAGAAGTAAAAATGGCTGACCGTCAAGATGATGATAATAATAAACGTCGCAAAGAGAGCCCCGATGGGTTGCCTTCATCTTCAAGCAAGAGGGCCAGGACAGAGCTAAACTCAGAGGAGATGGAAGCTATGCCTTCTACTTCCCAAAATGCTAATAATCCCGGAGAGGAGATAGAAGCTATGCCTTCTACATCCCAAAATGCTAATAATTCCGGAGAGGAGATAGAAGCTATGCCTTCTACTTCCCAAAATGCTAATAATTCCGGAGAGGAGATCGAAGCTATGCCTTCTACTTCCCAAAATGCTAATAATTCCGGAGAGGAAATCGAAGCTATGCCTTCTACTTCCCAAAATGCTAATAATCACGAGCAGGGAAATGCTTTGGGACCGGAGATCTTCCAGGAAAATATGCCAGTGGTTGCCAATCCGATACAGAATCGTCCGCGACCGATCGCCGTTGTGATTCCCGTCGCGAACCCAGCACTAGTACGAAGGATTACCGACCACGTTGCTCGAAACGACGACCAGGAGGAGGAGTCAGAGGGGATGGAGTTTATTTCCGACACTGACGAATCTGATTCGAGCGAAGAGGAAGTGATTGGTTTGTACGATCGCATCGATTTGAACAACATTGCTCACTGCGCCTTCCTGGCAAAGTTCACCGACTTGCAACCTCGCGTCGAGGTGGGCGAAATCGCCAATTGCAATGACTTTCAAATCCTTCGTCTCATTGGTATCGGCACCTACGCTAGGGTTTATTTAGCCAAAAAGGCGAATGGGCTCGATAACAACCGATTGTATGCCATGAAGGTGATCTCCAAGACGGTGGCCATACGTAGCGCCCAAACGGCCGATTTTGTCAGGGATGAGCGTCTGGCCCTGGAGGTAATCCAGGGAAAACCCTTCTTGGCCTGTCTTCAATACGCCTTCCAGGACATTCATAATCTGTACTTCGTGATGAGTAAGTTGCCACAAACTAACCGAAGGGGGAGGGAAATTCCTTAATTAATTTTTCCACCTTTTCCAGACTTTGCCCAGGGCGGAGAGCTATTTCGACTCCTCTTGAATGTCGACTATTTTTCCGAGGCGAATGCACGCATCTATATCGCCGAGCTGGTGGTGGCCCTGAGGCAGCTGCATCGCCGTAATATCATCTATCGTGACCTCAAGCTGGAGAACATTCTACTTGACCATGAGGGACACATCGTCCTGGCCGACCTTGGCCTGGCCACCTTCCTGACCCGTGAGAACCAACGCAAGGCTTACAGCGTCTGCGGTTCGTTGCAGTACATGGCACCGGAGATGCTACGTGCCGGGGAAGAGGGATATGGCAAGGCCGTTGACTGGTGGTCATTGGGTGTGGTCACCGTTGAGCTCCTTACCGGAATCAATCCATTTTCGAGACCAACTTTGCCGCGCAGCGAGCTGGCCGCAACCATTCAACGACGCATCTTGGAAGAGGATCCGCATATCTCTATGCCGCTGAGCCCCATGGCGATTGATTTAATCTCTCAGTTATTGGAGAAAAATCCAGAGGAGCGATTGAATGGCAACCGGATCCGTGAGCATCCCTTTTTCGAGGGTATCGATTGGTCGGAGATACCCCGTAGGAACTTCAATATGCCCTACTTGCCGACTATCACGGCTCCCGATGATGTGCAGAACTTTAGCTCAGAGTTAACCTCGCAGCCAACCGTGTTGCCCATTTCTGTACTGCCAACACACTTGCAACTTTATCATGGTTTTGACTATGCGGCACCGGAGATTCTATTGCATCGAGTGTACGAGGATGGCCAAGACGGGCATCGCAATCGGGATGTACTAGTGAGTTCTTAGCAAAATACTCTTAAAGGTAATTCCTAATTTTATTCCTTAAAAGCATATACCCCGGATTACGGACAAATCGGTGCTGGGCGACTTGCTGTGTCGCGGTGCCTTCGGCGCCTGTTACCGGGCTGGTACCAGAATGGCTGTAAAAATAATCCACATGTCTAACTTTCGTGTGGCTGAGATAGATGCCTTAATGTCCTGTTCGCATGATAACATAGTCAGATATTATGGCACTTATCATACCAAAACCGAGATCTGGATCTTTACGGAGCTTTTGAGCGGCAAGGATCTTAGCGCCTACACTGGCGACCTTGATGAGCGTTTCACTCGCGTGATTTTTCAGCAATTGCTCAATGGCATTTACTATTTACATGATAAGCACATTATTCACGGCGATCTGAAGCCGGAGAATGTGATGTGGAAGAATGGATGGTCTAGGTCGGTCAAGATAGTGGACTTTGGTTGTGCCAGGTGAGATAATGATGCTTTAGTATTAACTCCCATTCTCACCCATATCTTTCCGGTATAGATACCACAGGGATTTCATCCAATGGTTGGACAAGCCTCGCTATACCCTGGACTTTGCTCCACCAGAACTTTTGGAGGACGATGACGAAGTGGTCGCCTATAGTCCGGCAGTGGACATTTATGGCTTGGGGGCCACATTGTACTGCTTGATCATGGGGCATCCTCCATTTCGTACCAGCACCGAGGATGTAGATCTCTCGCCGATCGCCAGAGAGGAGATTAAAGACAGGATTTTACAAGAACCATTCCGTCAAGATTCGGATAAATGGATGGAAAGCAGCCAGACGTTCCGTGACCTGGTGACCTGGTGTCTGCAGAAGAGTCCAGGAGCTCGTCCAAGTCTTGTGGACATTTTGAGATGCCCGTGGCTAAGATTTAGCTTTGACGACGATTTGGAGGGCGGAAACGAAGAGGTCGAAGTGCCACCTCGCCAAATGAACAATCGTCGCAACAGCGTTTAAATGATGAACAATGACTTCCATTTCACTTCTTATTTCACATTTTCTTAACATACTTTACTAACAATTCCTACATTTCATTCATACATACATTACCAACCATTCCCATTTCGATCTTATATGAAATAAATCGAAAATAAATATGTTTTCAAACTAATTTTTGGTTTTTTTCTTTCATTATCAATTAAGAGAACACCCTATTCATCCAACATTGATATGACTATATCCGAGTGAACCCAAGGTTATGTGTCAGCCATTGTGTTAAAAGCATAAACCGAGTGAGAGAAATGGCCAACAATGTCATCAAAAGTGGCAAAGTGCCCTTCTACCCATATCGACTGTCATTCCATGTCCTGTTGTGGTCCTTCCTGGTCCTGGTTCTGGTCCTGGTCCTGCTTCCTTATTCCCCCGACAAGTCAAACGTTAATGAACTTAAAGAAATTAATTAAAGTGGCAGGCAACACTGGCCACCCACATATGTTGCATATACTCCACCGATACATATATGTTACATATAGAGTGTGTGCAGCTTAACGCCCCATCCGATGGCCGTTTTATTGGAAAGGACATCCGGTTTGGGGGGCTGACTGGGATCGGATCGGATGAAAATGGCATCGGATGGCTTTCTTCTTCGCCGGGTAAATGCAATAAAAGCAAGTTGTGAGACAACTTGACCATTAAAAATGAAGTCAGCCGTCGAGATGGGAGTGTCACAGTGTCCACTGTCCAATGTCACAGTTTTCCCAATATTAAGTCGATACAAAACGACGCAAGAATGCCCTCAATGAGAGGGGTTAGAAACTGTTTATTATAGTGAAAATTAATTAATTAATTTTGTAGATTTCAAGCAGAGCTTAAATCTTATTTGTTTACTAAGAATCTTTGTGGAAAAATTAATATTAATATGCTGAGAAAGATTTAAAGACTTTCCTTTTCTTAAACCCTTTTACTTAAATTTATTTAGAGTTCAGGAAATAGTTATATAGTATAGTTATAATGAAAATTAATTAATTCATTTTGTAAATTTTAAGCAAAGCTTAAATCTTATTTTTTGCAATAACAATTCTTGTGAAAATTTTTTATTAATATGCTGAGAAAGATTTAAAGACTTTCCTTTTCCTAAACCCTATAACTTAAGTTTATGTAGAGTTTAGGAATAGTATATTATGAAAATAAGATAGAGATCCATAAAATATTGGTATAATTTTAACAGAATAAAATTAAACCAGAGTTTTAGGACATTAATTAGATGTATTTATGAAAAATGCAACAAAATTTAAAAACCCTTTTGGGAAATAGCTGAAAAACTGCTTGAAAAATTAACTTAATTTAACCAAAGCTTATCTTAATAATATTTTTGATTTATTTTAGCTGCCAAAATTAAACCCAATTTGTTTGATAAACCTCTTTGAAATACCAGCTCAAAACTGCGATTAATGAAACTTGAAACTTGAGTGAGAATGACTTTTGCCAGGCTATTGCATTAACCCCAGGTGACCCCTTAACCCCTTGCTACCGTCAATGTGTCAACTACCGCAGGCGTCGCTCCATTCGCACCCGGGCTAATACCACAGCATTTTGGGCCAAAGTTCGATTGCCAATTGGCAGCAAAACTGGCCAATAGCTTGGACAATCCGTCATAGCTCCGACTTGGATCGATAATCGCATTTTGGGCTGCGCTGGAAAATTAGGGAAATGGAAATTAGCAGGAGAGTGATGATACATCCGCGAAAACGGTGCCCGCCGCTGCAATTCAATTCTCATTTGCTGCAATTTCAATGGAGAATTGGATTCGTCAAGTCAAGGATAATGTCTCGCAAAAGACGATTCGAGGGGTCATTATTCAGAGAAGGAAGATCGATGACCTGAGAAGTTAGATATTTCAATAGGAGGTGTAATATAAAGTATACAATTTGTTAACAAACAAGCATAGAATGTTTTCTAAGTAAGACAGTAGAAAATTGGCACCAAATTTTTATAATAAATCATGAGATGTTGACTTAGGATAATTATAATTAATCAAATGAAGATAGTAGCAAGAATAAGAATTTCAGCTATACAAATAATATTAAGCTAAGAAATTATGATTTATCAATTATATTGATAAGTTCTAAGGTAAATTATTAGCATAAGCATTTAGCATATTTCAAATCTAAATAAATACATTCTAAATTTATCAATTTAAACTTAAAAATTAATGTTCTTTAAAATTAACATTAACACATTGATGTTTATCGATAAATAACTTCATTAAGCAAATATTATGGAAATAATATGAAACAAAAATATTCCTTAACAAGTAATTAACAAATTATTCTTACAAATCTTGATTTTTTATCGATAAATTAATAAAAAATACCTATTTTCCCTATCAAATCTATCGATAAATGCCTTGACTTATCTCCATCATGGACAAAAGCCATCCCCTAGCCTATAGACCCCAGTGTTTCACCCCGTCACATGGCAATAAATATTGCCACATGTTAAATGTGATGGGACGATGGGCTCGACGAGGTCCTGAGGATTCCACAGGACTCACAGGCTGCAGGGCCATGGCCATGGCCACTCGCCGATATTGCAGAAAATTAACAAATGAGCCTGACAAGCGTCCGGCTGATGAGTTTTGTCCTCCCTCCCAGAAAAGCCCATACTCTCCGTTTTCCCCATTTTCCCCGATTCCCAGGCAGCTTTCCCTGGCCCGGAGGGGGCCTGGTCGATTGAATTCCGTGTCAAACGGTTTCTGCACTCTCAGCTTTTATTGAATTCCATTACAGATTCATGTCCGTCGGAGGAGTAACGTCATCATAAAGGCCGTATACCGTACACCGGACGGTTGTTTGGACAGGGGAAACCTGGGCATGGAGTGGAGATGTGATACACCCACCGATTGCTGTCATTAATGTTAATGGCAAATTGTTTTAGAGCACCGACTTCTGCCGGTGACAGTGTGGCTCCTGCTCCTGCTTCTGCTGCTCCTCATCCTCCTTCTGCCAGACCAGGACCAGAGCCCGCATCCGAATCTGGACTCACATCCGCATCCTGTTTGCCTCTCTGACGAGCCGACGAGTAGTAGTAGTAGTAGTTTGTCAAAAGTGCGAGCACAAAAGGACTCGCTCCTTATCGCACCAGACAGACTTTTCTGACTGAAGTCCGGTCCGGCTTTGGTCCCTATTATGATTATGCCGGCATAGTCCCAACCATCGAAAGAGTGAGAGAGGGATCCCTTTATTCCTGCCTGGTAATTTGTTGAGGTCTTCCCAGGGTTTTCCTTTATTTTCTGGGGTTATTTAAAAATTACGCCCGAATCGAAAGCCAATTAGTTTCGGAACGAAAAGTGCACTGGAAATGTAAAGGAACAACTCTGGAAATTATAGAGAACTCCTAGGAAGGAGCTTTGCTAACATGCTTACTTGAAATATTTATTAGTTTAGTAAAGCAATTAGTAAAAGGAAAAATCTGGAAACTCCTTGAAAGATTTTGTATTGCTTTCGAAGGGTTTTCTTTTGCAGATTTTTGAAAATTATAGAAAACTCCTTGGAATGAGCATTGCTAACATGCTTACTTGAAATATTTATCAGTTAATTATAAATGAATTGGTAAAAGGCGAAATCTGGAAACTCCTTAAAGGATTTTGTGTTGTTTTCAAAGGGTTTTCTTTTGCAAATTTCTCTACAAAATCTACCTTTGCTTGACCAGCAGATACAATTAATTGAGTGACTTTTTGATTTAATTTACAAACCACAAATATCGGTTAGCATAGATTCATTTTCCGTTTCATCCTCAAGTGCTCAAAAATGATTTCTGTAATTTTCCGCTCAATGCAGATGCCATTCAAGTTCTGTGTAAAAATGTCGAGGGCCTTGTGTGCGGGTGTAAATCTGCTCGAGGGCCAAAAGGACCTCTCCTGCTCAATTGAAATTGTTGCCGGCAAAGGCTCACTGGACTCACTGGGCTCTATGGCTGGCTTCCACATCAAAATCAGTACATAGTGCATACAAATCTGGACTGTGGCTGCTGAATTTCATGGCACTCGCACAATGAGAATCCGACCTCAACAAAGGAAAATTAATTTCGTCAACCGAGAGTTGCAAGCTGAAGAATTTTCCAGGGCTTCTTCTACGGCCAGGTGCAAAAAGGGGGTGAGGTGGAGGTATCCCTGGACCCCAAAACTAAAGGCTCACTTTACAACAACAAACTCAATTAATTTAAGAGATTTTCCCGAGATTTCCCGAAAGAAGCAGGAATTCTGTACCGATTGAGTTTTATATATTTTTTTTTTTCTCTTCGGAAGAGAGCAACTCTTCATTTGGCGGTCTTCGCTTTTGGATTTTGGCTTTCTGGAAAATTTAATTAAGCTGCGCCGAAGGCGGGAAAATCGGAACAGGGGACGGGGGAGATGTGAAAAACTTGCCATCTAAATATTATTTTACACGATGCTTTAACGGCAACTTTTGCATGCCTCATAATAATAATAATCGTCATAATGCCGCCAGGCAACAACTGTTTCATTAAAAGAAAAATAAACCAACAGGAAAATCTGCCAGAAGAGGGGGGTGCGGCGGAGGGAAATGCAGCGGGGGGAAAAGCGCAGATTGCATCGTATGTTGTTTTATGCGTATGATATTTTGCCAGGCCAAAGTTATGAGTTCTATATATACACATATACATCTCTATAAATATATATATATATATATAGAAGAAAGCTGGTAAAAGGCAAAGGCAGAGCATCAGCCCAAGGAAAAAATGGGAATCTGCTCCCTTTTTGGTCCTAGGTTCCCTTCATTTCTTTTATACCCATTATCCAAGGTTAAAGGAGGGTATATAAGACTCTTTGCAATGTTTTATTAAGAATTCTAAAGACATTAATGCGACTTTGAAGCTTGTAACAAATAATTTATTTCAAGTCTCCCTCAAAAGTATGCTCTTCTTTTGTAAATAACATTTACCAGGTATTCTATAGTCGTTTCCTTCCTTTTTTTGTATTTTTTTTTAAGGTTGGGGTATGGGTCTGCACTTGCTCTTTTAGTTAAATGTTTGAAAAGAAAAATTAAAAACTTTTTACAGCGCACACAACATGCGCGGGCTGCTGC